CTGGCCAGTGAGGGAGATGTTAATAATGGCCATGTGTAGTGGGAGAGAATGTTGAAAATATGTTGCGGAGGGGTTGAAAGTGCTGTTGTACCCTCACAAAGTGGATGATCAGTGAGCAGTGAGGGGGAATGATGTCACGTGCACTTTCAAGTGCGAGGTGCGCTGTTATGTGTTGTGTACCCGCCGAATGGGAAATTGCTAAGTTCCCCGTGTGTGAAGTGTCGATTTCCATGTCTAGAAAATGTGAGATTTTCTCGTGTCACAGTGATCGTGTGAGAAAGCCCCTAAATGCATTCGTGTCACGCTAACTCCTTGCCACTCGATAGATAATGCGTATCGACTGCAAAAGAGATCCTTTATATGCAATGTGCACTAAGTTGTTTTCCCGCACCTCCGATGAGCTACGGTTGGCTAAGTACGGTACGAAAGAAGTTCAACATAAGTACATACACGTACCGGGCGGAGCGGTGGTTAGCCCTCTGTACTATGAACATAACTACGTTTAGATCACAACGAATGTTAATGGCCAATGTCTAGAGGTATGTTCACAACAAACACAGACCCCCGTGACCAACAGCGTGGTGAGCCTCATTCAAACGTGGGATTGACGCACGGCTGTAATGATTCAATTATGCATACAATAATTAATAATACCACTGTAGTCATATATATTATCTAATTGGCATCACCTAACGAAGCATTCAGGCAATCCCCTCAGATGTGTCAGGGTAGTTGGAGGTTGACGGTGCTTATTGAGTCACCTGCTTCTATCCTCGTGCATGGAAATGTTTGTAGGAGCTAAATGCCAATGTCAAGGTCTGACCGAGACTGGCATGTGCTTCCCGACAAATATTCAAGTTGTTTAGCCGTTCATTATTGGCCTTTTCTTTTGTTGTTCCATTTCAGGTAGTGGGGACGTTTAAGAGCGTTACGGAGTCGAAACGACGTAATTTAGTTTCACACGCCATTTTTAATCTGAGCACGTGGATTCCCGCCCCATAAACTCGACGGGCAGAACACATTTGTTGATTACAAGATGAGGTGGTTTCGGTGCAAGGCTGATTTGTATCCAATTTATATTGCTGTGTTGTCATTAGTGACACTTATATAGGAAACGTTTAATTAACCGACAGCTATTCCTGACATGTGTGAAAATGTCGGAGTTTGATACACGTGGAGTGGGTTCAACTGAGTCGCAGACGTACACTTTGAAGGCAGCGCATTTATTTAGTTCCAACACACGGGGTAAACTTTCCCCTTAACAGAATAACAACCTAGGGTGGTGACCACCCGGCTAACTACACTAGTTACTACACTAGTTACCACGTAACTATACTCTTTGGTTTTTTCGGTAAAGTCACTGAGGTAAAAAATATAAAATAAATTAAAATGAAAACAAAAACATTTAATCACGACGTTTCGGAAGCAACACAAGCAACCGTCATCAGGTGTTGACTGCTCCAGCAAAATTACTGAGGCGTATTTATTTGTTTTCATTTTAATTTATTTTATATATATTTTTACCTACGTGACTTTACCGAAAAAACCAAAAACTATGGATCCTTGCAGTCACGAAAACTTCAAATCTACCAAGTAACTGTCACTACGGACCCGGGACCAACAGCATCTGCCCGGGTCCACGTGCTGGAAGACTCGTAGGACGTAGATCGTAGACGAAGGGTTTCTATTCCCAGGATGAACAACAACCCCGGTCCCTCTCGGGACTCGGCTGATATTCTCTGCGGCGTGGCCGGCTCCGCCCTTGGCCTACGACCACCTTCCAGAACCATCGGGAAGGACCTGGGTACCAATCACGTGACCCTTCCTCTTGGGGCCCCTCTGTCATTTTAGCCGGTCACGTGTCGTCCCGGGCGGGTCAACCAGAGTGCCATGGCCTCACACGACCTTCCCCTTAGGTCGGCACCCACACACCGTGTCCTGTAGGGCTGGTACTGCACTTACAGCGTGGTGCCATCCAGCGATGTTACTCCACGCACACCGTGCCCCTCTAGGGCCGGCACTGCACCCACAAAGTGGTGACATCCAGTGATGCCACTACACATGTGCCGAAATAAAGTTAGAGATTAGAAAAACTCTAGAGCGTTTTAATGTTAGTATAAACAGGTGCCCCTATCGTTTATACTGCAGACAATTAAAAATTATTTGAAAGGTAAAACTGTAAAAGTTTCATGGATAAAATGTGATTTTTTGAGCATCCTGGTAGCTTAGTTTTGATTTCAAGATTGTGGTGATGGAACATGTGTTTACAGAAGAGATAAGGATGTACTGTAGACAATTAGAGTGTATCCGCATGACCCGCTTTAGTAGTTCCCCTTTTGCATGAAACAAACAAGAAAACACAAATGCTTGAACAATATGCAGTGGACAAATCGCAAATATTAAAGAACAAAACATAAGTTACTTTACATTACAATTGAATCCCGATGAGATTCAGTTAAGACCAATTCAATCCAGTGCTTCAACCATTTCACCAGTTCATCCCCCCCCCCCCCCCGCCCTGTGTATTTATGTAAATGTTTACTTTAGGTCAGCGTTCATTCCACTCCAGGTATATATGTACATGTTTGACTCCTTTCCCCCTCTTGTCTGCGCTATGCAAAGTATGGGGTCACGGGTGTTTTCACCCATTACAAGAATTCCTATGCAGCCACGAGGAACGACGCCATTAATCACCCTTAGCTCTGCGGGAAGGGCATGGGGTGAGCATTGTACAGTTGTACGAATGCCATTGGTTTGGATAATTGAGTTTGTTTCCAGGATTGTTATTATTAATATGAGGAAATTAAGTTTGTGTTTCTGTGGCAGTGCGCTCGCCACAACGCCACCGCTCATCGCCACGTGGAGGAATTTTCGGTACGTGCTTACGTTGCGGTATAAAGTCGCGCAATGTATGTGCAGTATGTTACACTTCTTTCGTACCGTACGTAGCCAAACGTTCGATTCGGAGGTGCGGACAAGGGTCCATTGGCAACGCGTGCGTTCCGAGTTACAAAAGTATTTTTTTTAAAGAACCCATGTGTGAAACATCACACTTACAAGGCAATAGGTTCCCTAATGAATCGGCAACGTATATGCGAAACAACGCATAACGCGGCGACTTATCGCAGGGATTCCTGTGTGAGAAACGTTGCTGATGCCCAGCACGGGAAGCAGGAACCCCTGGGGAGGTGGGTGGAAAGAGGGGGGGTCGCACACCACTTCCGCCTCTTTGTGACGTCATAATAATAACCACAACCACGTGACTATGCATTAACTGGGACACGATTTTGGTGGACTACCATCACCACGTGCCCACTGTCGTGTGAGACGGCATTCCGATTTAGAGGCTAAATATGAATCGAAGAGTGGAATTGTGTTGAAAATGTAATAGGATACTAAAATAATTTCCACTATAGTACAGTGGCGATAGAGCCCGTGCTCGCAAGAAGGAAGAGACCGGAGATAAACTACGGGACACCCAGCACGTGAGTGTCCCCTGGATTCTCATACAATGTCCCAGCGATCCGAGTATTATTGATTCCGGATAACGTATACGTCTTATCATGATTATTTGTGAACTACATCAATGATTTAACTTGACGGCGAGCTCAACGAAACGCCGAGTTAAACGGTCAAGGCAGGACTATTGAAGAGTAAGAGGCGCCATGCCAGTCGCTATTTATGTCGCCGACGACCGAGGGGTGTGGAGTTGAATTCCCGTGCCAGTTGCCAACCGCCAGTGACGAGGTCACCCACGGAAGGGAAGCGGGGTGGGACGTTTGATGATAATTCGTTTGACGTTCGCATCGGAAGCAACTTGGCCACAGCATTCCAGCTGGAACACAAACCGCGTCACCGACCCATTCGGTTTGGGGGCCGTCCATAAATGACGTCACGCGATTTTGGACAATTTTTTTTATTTTTGACCCCCCCCCCCTTCGTCACACGGCGTCGCAAAAAGGCAGACCCCCCCCTCAAATATGACGTCACAAAGCTCTGCTCCCCCCCCCCCCAAAATAAAACACGCTTCAAATCGCTTTAAACTATTGTCATTGTAGTGCGTATTTAATGTGGCGCTGCACTCTGATGTTGTAGGAGAATACATTTAATAAAAAGTATATTTAATTAAGTAGAACGTGTTGTCTATATTTATTTAAAGTTGCGCATTTTGATGTGACGTCACATTTCTCAACCCCCCCCCCCTCGTCACACATCGTCACAAATGTCTTACCCCCCCCCCCCTAGGTGCGTGACGTCATTTATGGACGGCCCCTTAGCCGTATTCTTGTTCAGGGAAATTAAGCGTTCAGGTCCATACGGCGTCACAGCCGTTTCAATACGGGCAAACCAAAAGATGACATTTGTTTGTGTTTCTCCCTTGTGATGGGACATTGTAGGGTGAACGTTGTGATTTATGGGTGACCACTAAGGTCGGAATTGTTTCGTATAAATGTAGGCACTGATAAAGGGTTGACAGGTATAGGAATAGGATGGGAAGGGTTTGGCTAAGTTTGATTTCGTTGCGAAAGTCAAACGAATGTCAAACGTCCGATCAAATTTAAACTCTCCTTCGGTAAGAAACTCAACGATTTCCTTCTATAACACTGCCTCAGTGGGCGGGGCTACACCCGTAGTGGGCGGGGCTACACCACTAGTGGGCGGGGCTACACCACCAGTGTGCTGGGGCAATACCACTAGTGGGCGGGTCTGTTTCACTCAGTGGGCGGGGCTACACCAAAAGTGGGCGGGGCTACACCACCAGTGGGCGGGGCTACACCACCAGTGGGCGGGGCTACACCACCAGTGGGCGGGGCTACACCACAAGTGGGCGGGGCTACACCACCAGTGGGCGGGGCTACACCACCAGTGGGCGGGGCTACACAGCCAGTGGGCGGGGCTACATCACCAGTGGGCGGGGCTACATCACCAGTGGGCGGGGCTACACCACCAGTGGGCGGGGCTACATCACCAGTGGGCGGGGCTGTGGACATACAGTCACGCACACGTGGCGGCCAACCCCAGCACCGTTATATCGTTGCTGCTGCTACTGCTGCAGCTTCTGACACCGTCACCGCCACGTGTTTCCCTTCCCTCCACATCGCTTGATCTCATCTCGCGGCAGACATCAGGGACGATTGCAGCAGCATAAAGCGACGACAGCACAACGCGGCGGGGGCAGCAGCAAGCCGGAGTTACATTGGACAGCACGCGGCACAATGCAGACCGCTTCGGGCATTTCGCGCCGGCCAGCGCTGGGCAAGCAGCTGCTGCGGTCCATGTCGCAGACCCTGGGTCCCGGCTGTGGTCGGGCGGCAGTCGGCCTCGGGTTGGGGAGGTTCTCGTGCCGACGCAGCGTGGCCACGAGCCCGCGGCTGGAGCTCGGCAAGCCCGAGCCGTCGCCTCTGAGCCTCGCAACGCAGCATCCCAGCTCGGCAGCACGGCCACGCGAGACGTGAGTGGCGGGTGACGTCTGTCTGTGTGTGGCGTGTGTGTGTTCACGTTGTAAACAATAACATCAGCAGCAGCCTGTGGTCAATGGACTGTTGGGTGAAGGTCTCCCCGCACCGTGCACGTTGTCTGACCATACTTCGCCACGCTGGGCAATGCGGGCTGGTGCAGTGGGGGAAGATTTGGGACCGGTTCAGATGTCACTCGCCACTGATGGTGGCCGTGAGCTGCAATGGAACGTAAGAAAGTCGGGCTCATGACGCAGTCGTCTTGTGCCGAGCCTCAATGAAAAGCAGTGGGCGCAGTGGTTACTTTAGCCCCACGAAAAAAAATAATCCTCCAACCCGATCGTTCATCATCATCATCATGCCTGAGATGACGTGTGGATATCGGGAGCCCATTCTGTCCAAATGTCAAAAGGTCCGAGTCAGAGCCTCGGCTTGAATCTTGAGCTTCAAGACAAAAATAGACCGGCGGCTTGTTCCACACACACAGTGCCTTGCTGGTAATTGGCCCTTAGTGCACACTGTTTGGGCAAACTAAGGGGGGGCGGGATTGCGTGATTTGTGATGCAGCCGGACCCACAGGTGCGGAAGGGATGATTCGATGGGATCAGTGGCGCAGCCGTTTTCGCACCTCGCTGCTGCGAACCTGGATGACCTTGGTCGGTGATGAGCGTCAGTGTGTGGAACGCGATAGTACGATTTGTACCGGGCTGGACATCCTAAAAGGTCAACTCGTTCTGAAATAAATCATTGTAAATATTACCAAAGGGGAGGGGGCGGTGGGATACAAATGTAGCCGTGCTGACCTGAGAATGTGTGAGCTCTTAACATCACTAGCTCCAGCAGTTTTAACGACTCGGGCAAAAAATATATAATTTGACAGCGTGAAATGCAGCTGGTGTATGAGGAATTCGCTCGGGCTAGCGCAGGGCTCGGTATCCTTTCAAAGAAGAGCCACGTGTTCGTGTTTTTGTCTTTGACCAAAATAGTTTGAGAGCCGTATCGCACGCACGGCTACTTGGACACAAACATAGCAGCAGCAGGCATACCGCAGATGGCGAATACGCATTGCGACTTAAATAAACAAAATAGGTGATGGAATAAACTGCGTCTATTTGTTTTTTTTCTCCATTTAGTTATTCTTTAACAATGCAGTTTGACAGTGCACTTTTTCGTCACCAAGACAGTGACCCATTCCCTGCCATTTTTAACCCATTATTTTTTGCGTTAAGTTACGTTTTAAGATTCACGTGTTTTTTTAAAAAACAGCTTCCCGCAAAGGGGCAGCCAACGAGTCGCAAGTGGTTGACGATCCCTGGGCGAGTGTGATGCGCATTAACCAAGACGCCAGGGTCTACCCTGGCACCACGTGCTAACGAGTTCCCCCCCACTAGATGTGTCCTCTCACAGTGCACCCAGTCTGGTGGCAGAAGCACTCTGGCAACATCGGAGTAACAGAGATCGGGCTAAAGAGCTCTTGCCAATGGACAGATTCGAGTTGCCCTCAACATGGCAACGTGGCATGCCCACCGCAGCTCATGCCCTTCAATGGAGAGCATAACCCAATTCCCTTTGGATCAGGACCATGCTTTAAATGTACAGCTCTGACTCATCTGGTGAAATTAATGATGGATATTGAATTCATCTGACTGGTTCATTTGTGCAGATCACGTTAATGTGGTTGCAGTTGAATGTGTTTTTGCTGCCCACTCTGTGTGTACACTACCACATGGGCCCCTATCTATTTCCATCGTTATGTTTGATTAGTTATGGAAGCAGGGCGCACAGCCAGCCTAAAATGGGTCGTTTTAATAATTCTAAAGTGTGCATGGATTTTCTTTTGTAATGCCTCATTGAGACCACTTTGTGATGTGTCCCAGTGCCCACACAAGCATTGGATGGTGCATGTCTGTCGGTTTACCATTGCGAGTACTGGAAATTCCACATTCCTATGGCAGAGCCAGTGTCTTATCAGCCCAACTGTTGTGGGCCAGTTTTCATGAAGCACAAAGTGACGGTGACTCCAGAGTGATGAGCTGACCCCTCCAAGCTGGGATTGAAACTTCCCACCTTGCTGTTGTGTGACAAGCACTCGAAGCACAGCACCACGAACATCCGATGCTCCACATGAGTAAAGAGATACTGAAGATAGGCACTGCTGGAAGCCAGCCCTACCAACAGAAGAAGAAGAAAGAAGACAGGATCAGATTAAAGGACAAGCAACACGTCCTCACGGATACATTATGGCTCATTGCTTTTCCACGGTGTGGATACGCACTTCTCGCGCGTATGAATTGTGCAGCGTGCCCTTGGCTGTCTACCTCGGAGTGCTGCCCACTAGTGCTGTGTGGAGTGGTGTCAAGTGGAGCATGTTTAGTAAACGGTTTATTTTCTCAATTTCTAAAATAAATATAGAGTCGCAAGCCTACACTAACATCTAAGGGCAGATGGACGCAGCTTTGGCCACCAGTGTTGAGCATCATATTCAGAAATTGTAGTTAGAACGATTATGTGGAGGGCACGATTGGCGGATCCTTTTATCTGTGTTTACCAGGGAATAATTTATACTATCTGTGCGGTTGTCCGGATAAATGCAGATAACAGAATGATTATAGCACCACTTCCGTGTGACTGATGATGGTGATGATGGCCATCTCGGGGCTGAGTTGACCCTGTGGCTATTTCACCTGGATATATCCTAGCCATTCACAGAGAAACTCCTGTTATCCAATTTGACGTGGAGGGCTCTAGGGGCAGATCCTATTATCCACATTCTTGTCTGTGCAATAATGCCCAGTGTAGCACGGGTAAACACGGATAATCGATTGAATTTTCCACCACTTCAGGACCACTCCTTTTTCTTTTCACAAAGGCTCGGATAATAGGATGAAGTGAGAATGTGTCAGCGACCACTTCTGGGTGACTTACCCGCGGATGATAGGAAGAGTTTTCCTACCATCTTCTCGGTTACTCCACTTATCCGTAGATGGCGAGTATGAAGTATACACTGATAGGCAACATGATTTTACACAAATCGATTGGGTGCCCTGATAATACAAGTATGGAAATCCATGGCCTCTGTTACAAGGAGTTTCACTGTACAGTGCTTTAAGAAATGTTTTCGCAAACTGGACTGCTGATCCAACACCGTTGAGATCCTGGATTAAAATCCTGAGCGGTCACACGAGATGTAACCAGCCACCCAAGTCAATGGAGTCGGCAAAGTCAGCCGAGCATCTCCACCAAGACATGAATCACTCGGAGACCTATTGGGACATGCTTGGTGTATGATGACAATTGAAATCTTCACTTGACGTAAGTCAACGAAGTAGTTACACATCTTTTTACTCGTTACCTCTACAAATGCAGTATAACATCTTTGCACAAAAGTGTCATGATCGTCATTGTGGAGAATATAACGAAATAATTCAGCAGACTGTTTATATCACAATATCTGTCCATCCACACCAAAACGCCCCAAAGTTTGCCATCAACCACAAGGCCCTCTGGGAGTGCACAACCACAGCAGCACATGAGCGGACTGTGGACCGGCTTTGACACACAGTGGGTGTTGGCAAGTGTAAATAATACTTTTGTCTTCTGCGTGGTGGGACAGATATGTGGAGATATATTGCCTGCTTTGTTTATTTATTTTTAAAAAGGCTTTTTTTTCATTGACTCAAAATCCCTCTCGAAATATCTTAATGCAGGAGTATGACATTTACCCAGCTGTTTTGTGGCACTGGTTGAGAGCACTCGACTCAGAATCAGAAGGTTGTGAAGTCAAATCCCTGGTCAGGGGTCAACTTTTAATCGATGATTCCTCAGTGTTGGATATAATATGCACCGATATGAGAGGCAGCAGTTGCACGATGGTAATAACGGTGTGGGATAGCGTGGGTAAGATTTGCTCACAAGTGACGACCTCATATTTATCCCTCTAAGACCAAAACATGAGGATTTATCCACAAGTCTGGCTGTCGCCTGATGATGCTGGTTGTAATTACCAGCGAAACCTCGTACTCAAATTATAAATGTTGTGGGTTTACTCTCCAACACACCGGTGTGCTGAACTAGTAACGAATTGGCATGTTTTGTTTACCTGACAAACCGTACTGATTGGCTGTATCGGGTGGTGGCGGGTTTAACGACACAATTATATTTACGCGATCTAACCCAAAACCTGTATTATGGAGAATTTTCACCACTGGCTTTGGGCCACCTGTGGAGATGAGCATCGCCCCAATGCTTCTTAAAATCCTTGACTTTAAAAACTTCTAACAACACAATTGTTTGAGTCTAAATTGAATAATGATGCAATATGCACTTTTAACACTAATCAAGGAATCGGCCAATGATCCCAATGTAAGAACGTTTTTAGACTTAGCGAGGCTTTCTTGGGTAAGCGAAGGAGTGTTGTTACCAATGTTTGGTATTGCGGGCACACTTTGGTGACATTCACAAGACAGCAGAGGTTGGCCTTGACTGTGAGTGCACGTGGCATGCTTTGGAAGGCTGTGCAACAGGCTGCCCTGATGGCTATAAATTGCCTGCAGTGATGCGCTGTAAAGTAACTCTAGCATGGCCACACATGGCCCAGGGTGTAATGTGAAGCCACTCTGTACCCAGCCCACCACCCGCATCCCTCTTTTTTACAGCAAGGGTCTGGGGACTCATCAGACTCAAACCCACATCTGTCTGTCTGTGCTATTGGTAGACACTTTCAAACGACTATCGTAAAATGTAAATACAAAAATACGTAATAAAAATAACACGCTTAATGTTCATATTAAGGGTTTGTTTATACACGACATGTTATGTATACTACACTAAATGGATAAAATTGTTCAACCTTTAATATCTATTAGGCATGAGTTTTACTGAATTATGCTACATTTCAGCTTGGAGCTACATTGCACAACTGTGAGAACCTACGCAGTGGCATACAAGGCATCGTATCTGAGTGAGCTGATCAGATTGGTTTATGATGGGTATACTTCTTATTGATGATAGATAATCTAGCGCACTGAGAGGGACTTGTTTATCTGATGCATTTTTTTAAAAGTGCAACCAAAACTCTGACCACAAGCACAGTACAACGGGAGATTACAGTGCAATTCAATACTTTTTTTTATAGCATCAAACTACAAAGTGTGATCTCACTCAATGAATTGGATTACCAGATTATTTTTAAATAAATGGACATCTTAAGACCCAGTCACTGCCAATGGAAACTGAAATTACCTGGCTGGAAATACACAATGTCTGTCCTGTCTGCTATTCCACGTTGCCCGGAGCTTTGGTGACAATGTTCCACAAGCCGCCGCGATCGACCGGACATTCGTCTGGCCCTTGAGTCGCCCAGTTCGACATTAAACAATGCTCTGCTGCTGGGGGTGGAAAATTCAAGAGTGGAAATTCCGCGGATGCATTCGAAAAGATATTTTGTTGTGCGCTAAATTTGGAATTGGATACAGAGTCATGCTTCCAAATACAATTTCACTCATTTCCACTAATATCGCACGGATATTGCAGATGAACATTATTTGATCACGGCAATTAATGGGTATTCATGGATATTAATGGAAGAAAATTTATTGAAGAATTTTACGAAGAAGGCTCCAAATTTGGGCGAATGTGAAGTTTTAACAAAAGGAAAGTTATTTACAAGTTCGCTGAACAGAAGTCATTATTTGTTGGAGGGACACAATTGGAAAATACATCAATTAAATTAGTATGGCTTTGTGAGAATTAAATGCTGGCTGTCCTATAAACAAATTGGCCTTCGCCTTACAAATGTGAAATTTCCATAGCAGAAGAGCACTGCCCAACAGTCAACGGAGAATGGATACTTTCTATATTTAAGTGCATTGACGCACACTTGCTTACTTTTTTGTGGCTCTGCTGGATAGCTCTCCGAAGTGTATTCGGGCTGAATGGCATATTGTCTCACTTGACGTCCGACGTTTCTCGTGGAGATGAGGCTTTGGTTCCTGTAAGAAGCTCTCAGCGTGCAGAGTGAAACCTCAGACATCATGCTGAACAACAGAGGCCATAGCCTGATAACGCGCCTCAGTGCTTTTATTACATATTTGTAATTGTTTTTAGATGACCTTTTACACTTCCTGTTTCATTGCAGCCGAGACCTTTGCTTGCATCATTTTTCAGAATAGTTCAGCTCCCCAGGGAGGCGGGGGAGGAGGGAATAGAATTGTGGATCGTTGGTAAATTGACTCAACGTCGCGTGTTCCGGCCACTCGGCCCACACCAACCTGGCTGAGTCAAAGTTCACTGCTGTTGTGCTTCTGTTCACCCAGGAAGAGGGGAACACGTCTTTTGCCCAAGCTGGAAGACCTGCTGTTCGACACCATCGCAGAGGGACAGGACAAGATACCCATCGTGAAGTTCATCACCGTACGTAACTGCCCCGGCTGACCCCCGGTGGCGTATTTGCCGTCAAAGAGATAGATTGACACACGTGAGCACACGGAGGTCTGTTTGGACGCGTAGCGATAAAGATACCGGGGGAGACCCCCGACTTGACCCAGTCCCCAAGTCGCACCACCCAAAAACGGTTTTCAAGGACCAGATTTATCTGTTGAGTTATTGCAGAACCAGCCCCGTGCCAAATGTTAGGCCGACTCCCAATACTCAGTCCCACCAGCAGTACTCGCCGTGCCAGTCATGCGTAACTTTGTTATCCGTGCACCATTCCATTTGACTCTGCAGAAATGATTCGCCCATGGGTGTTTAAAGCCTTCCACAGTGCTGGTTAATGTTTTATGAATACAAAACCCATTATAACAATGCTTGGGTAAAGAGTGATCCATTTGACCTTTCCACTGGTTGAAAGCGTCTGTGTTTTTCACACCAACTGATGGCAGCGAGGGAGATGAAAGGAGAGTGCAGACAGTCGCATTACCTGGCTGGATTGTCAGCTCGCGCCTGTCGATGTGACGCACTGTCGCCATGAGCGAACGTGATTCCGGTCAACATAACCTGAACGTGCCATTCAGGTGAACGTGAGTATCACACGGCGGGTGGGGGGGTGGAGCGTCTGTCTGCGTGGCGCCCACCACAGTGTCCCCGTGTCTCCCCAGGCCCTCAAGGCCACCGGGCTGCGTCCGTCGGACCCGCGCCTGCGAGACTCCATGACGACGCTGCGCAAAGCGGTGAAGACGGCGTCCGAAGGGGTCACCCTGGACAAGGAGCTCTTCCGGAGGTGATCACCGCCGGCCGCTCACCCAGAGGCGTCCCGTCACTCGCAGTATATGCGTGCGGGCGCCAGGTAGTCCAGTGGCTCTGGACTCCATTTAACCCGTTCCGATGACGTACGTGTTCGTACGTGTACATCATATGTAAGAGGCCATGCGGGGAGAGCGCGTGGCACAGTTTGGCGCCGGCTATCGTAGAGTGCGGTCGTGTCGCTACAGTTCTCTGCGGTGAGTACAATGTCTTTAAAAACAGCGGCGCTACGCCTCTCTAAATAATTTAACGCAGAGCCGCTTGCGCGTTCCGAGATTCAGCGGTGAACGGGACACCCACCCCGCGACTTGCAGACGTCTCGGAACGGAGAAGGGTTAAGAAAGATGGCCGAGTGGCTTAGAGGTCAGAGCGCTGGGCTGGCACCGTTGGGGACCAGGGTTTGATCCGGACAGCCGTCTGATTAAACCAGATTCTCAAGTGGAGTGAGTTGATGTTCGCAGGCTGAGAAACATTGGACATCACTTCGCACAACACATGGTTCAACTCGCACACAAACACAGCAGAGAGCTGTACAGCGCAACCATGTATATGATATGTTTCAATAATTTCAATTATCGGTCTTGTGCATATGTCTGCAGACACATTCCACAACGACTTTGGAATTCCATAATGACATACACTCTCTGGAGAGAAACAGACAATCGCGTGACAATCGTGCCTTGGTCACTTCACAATTATTAGTGGTGTGATTTTATCAGCTTGGTCAAAACACGTTACGTGTGTTTACTGTGTGTCCCGCTGAGTTAAATGTCCAAGGTCAACAACATGCATTTGTTTTTGCAGTCTAACTCAAGGCCGAGTGTCCAGTGTCCCATCGTCAGATATGGGTAGACGCTTCTGTGTGATGTTAAAACCCCCTATCGCGTTGCGTTGTTGTGTAATAGCGTAACAAAATAAGCACGTCAGGATTTACGAGGTCTTATAAAGTCAGCTCCCATGCTGTCATACATTAACATCGCTGCTATAGAATACAAATCACTGGACTAAGCGTCGAGCATTAACTACGCGAGTGTGTTTTCTCTCATACGAAGCGCAGCTCTCGACCACGGGGGTCACCCTTGCCGATTGTTATTTATCCGCACGCCACGAGAGTTTGCAAAACTCAAATAGTTGGTTGACCAATCACGGCGCATGCAACGAGCCACACCCCAGGCAGTTGTTTGTGCTGCTCACCGGGCGTTTGTGGGGGCGTGCATGCCCCGCCGGTGCCACGTGGCTCTGCTCGTCCTGTGCTTGGCCGTCAGCTTAACACGTGCGTTTGGCGTATGTTGCGCTACGAAACACAGAGACCCCAGCTCTCGATTCACACTCGCGGCCAACACCAGTGACGAGTATCTGAACCGGTCTTCGGCCTCCCCTAGGTCGACTCAGCCTCAATTGAGTACCTGGTGCGATGTGTAATAATATTGCCACGAGGGAGACAAAGGCGGCCGGACGTGGTGCTGGCCACCCACCACCTTGTGTACTGTTCTGGCCTTCATAGGTGCTCGCTAGTAGCACTTGCCCTAACATCCTGTCAAGGCTACACGGGAGATCTTTCTCTTTGTTGTATGTGTTATGTTTTCCCACTTTGGGAATGTTTTTTGTGTGAGGCGGGGTGTCGGGGTATGGCGGCGAGGTGATTTGATGGGTATCACATTGCGTCGCAGTTTGAGTGAAATAAGTTCGGTTCCTTGTCAAGGGTACCCATGACTATTGTCTCTTACCGTACCCTCTCACTCTGTCTTATCGATTAGCCAATGACAAAACTAGCCCTGACACTAGCTAGGCGATACACTGGATTTGTACATTCATGCCTGCATATATATAAATGTGTGTGTGAGTGTATGCATGTGTGGGATGTAGTGATTTGATGGTTGGTCAGCATATTATGCTACCATCCTGGCGACGTGCGTTAAGTTCCTGGTCACATATAACGTCGGTGGCATTTGGTCGTCTAAATGCGGTCCGGCCTTCCCCTCGCATGTAATCGATGCCTCGCGCGATGTGGGATCATCAGCGTTGGGGCGACGCAGACAGCCCAGGTGGTGTGCGCTGCTCGTCACACCGCCCGCCCTCTAATCGCTTCTTGACAACAGCACGTGGCCCCCACGGGGACTAAGGATACGAGCAGAATTATTTCATTTGTATGCGTGCGTGCGTCTTTGTTGCATGCGCCCACGCTTGATATGCAATATTAATATTTTATACCGATGTGCTATTTTTATACTGCACCGTACTATGGGGGGCGGGGGGGGTGTGAGGGGAAAAAACTGCAAGATTTTTGAAACCCGTTAAAGGTCACAAACACTATACCCAAGAGCATGAATCGTTGTTGAACGGTTGTGGTGACTCTATGCCGATTGTTCTGCAGTTTTACGCAATGACGAACCCCTCCTGGTGATTTGATGAATTAAAGACGAGCCACAAGTATGGATATTAGAGTTAACCACGATAGTGTGCGGTCCTTCAACTCGAATCGATTCTGTCGTTAACGTTGTGCTGAATGGCGAGGCTGCTGTGGTGGCGTGTATCCATTAGATGCGATATTTACAAACGTAGAGCACTAATCGTCACACAAGCAAACCGATGCACGCATAGCGAGCTTCAGAACATATATTCACCGATGAATAGATGCCGTCGTTTCATCCCTCTTGCGGCGGTGGGTTAATGTTGAGGCTCCTCGAATGCGCCATTGTGCAACGATATCCTATGGTTACAGCGGGAAATGACGTCCACTCTGCTGCCCATCGATTTGTAAGTTACAATCCCTGATTACGAGACCTCATGTCTCCCCAGGTGCGTGGGCAGCAACATCGTGCTGCTCACGCAGGCGTTCCGCCGCAAGTTCGTCATCCCCGACTTTGAGAACTTCACGGCGCAGGTGGACAACATCCACGAGAACGCGCGGGCGCTCACCTGGGGCAAGGTGAGCTACCTCCTTCCTCACCTGGGGCAAGGTGAGCCACCACCCTCCTCACCTGGGGCAAGGTGAGCCACCACCCTCCTCACCTGGGGCAAGGTGAGCCACCACCCTCCTCACCTGGGGCAAGGTGAGCGACCACCCTTCTCACCTGGGGCAAGGTGAGCCACCACCCTCCTCACCTGGGGCAAGGTGAGCCACCACCCTCCTCCCCTGGGGCAAGGTGAGCCACCACCCTCCTCACCTGGGGCAAGGTGAGCCACCACCCTCCTCACCTGGGGCAAGGTGAGCTACCACCCTCCTCACCTGGGGCAAGGTGAGCCACCACCCTCCTCACCTGGGGCAAGGTGAGCTACCACCCTCCTCACCTGGGGCAAGGTGTTGTCAAAAATTTGGAAACTTACGAGCGGGATGACAACTTAAGTTTAAAACTTCAAAACTTCAGTTATGTCCTCGTGGAAACTATAAATGTGACTTTTACGGCTGTCCAGACTCTTTAAGTCGGGATCTCAGCAGTGTTGGCTCTTGGCATTGACGTTCTTCTTGTTCTCCGAAGCTGCACAGACACCTCTTGTATTCTCCGTGTGTGTGGGTGTGTGTTGTTGTGCATGCTGGATGCAGGTTGCTGACTATATTCCACAACTTGCAAAGTTCAGCAAGGACCTTTGGGGTGTCTCCATCTGCACTGTGGATGGGCAGAGGTGACGTTTTGAATTTTAAATACTTATTTGTAGATAAGGAGCAAACCTCGCTTTACTTGAAAGTTACCCGTAATTCTTCAAGGCATGGCTGATGTATACATTTAACCGGACGTTATTTAACCAGAGGATAATTTGTTTGATGTATTGTTTGTTTTGTGGTGACTGTAAAAAGTGAGGATAGTTCTTAAGTTTTCCAAGTCTTTTTCATATTTAAGAGCATATCCTTGCTCATCACCATCGGTGGCTATGAAAAACTACAAGAAAATGGATCCAGTCTCACTAAAGTATGACCACTATTTTTACTTACCATAAGGTGGAACTTATTTTATCGACTTATTCGGATGATGGGCTGAGTTAACTCCCACGTAAAATCAGATACTGGTTTGCCTTGCTGTATGGACACAACACAGTATACACACAGTACATACACAGTACACACACTACGCACCACAATCTTGTCCCACATCCGGCCGCATAGCCGCACGTGAGTGAATTCAAACCGCATTCTAGCGAATTTGGGGTAGAAATCATCGGTAAGCCGCATTTACAGCAAGGAATGGCACAACGAAAAACTTGCATAGAGCGAGGGAAACCTACAGTAGGAGTTTCACTGTACCTACATGTTACCTACTCTTTTGTCAATCTGTAATAATCCTTCTTGAGACGGCTTCGGAATCAGTCCTTTTATTTCCACTCCACAATACACTTTGCTCCCTCACTCTCCGTTGCTGGCAGACAACGGAGAGAGGACAGACTTCGCACTAAGTCCCCACCGCGCACGTGGCACCCAGAGCCCCCGTCCGCGCGTGACCCTGCTCTTGTCAGTTTCAGTCTGCTCTCGATCGTTCTCTCTCACTCTCTCTTAATACCTTCGTCACGTGGTCCCCCCAGCCAATCGTTCATGGACAGCTTCGACCATTCTCGATGGTTCCCTGTCAATCCCGGGACCACGCCCCTCATCCGGCTCCCCATTAGCTGGGGCCCCGAATGGCTAGGCCAATCACTCCTGATGACATGTCGTGATCACGCCTGGGCCATGGTCCCTATCTCAACCCTTATTGGCTACAAGCAGGACCGGCAAGCCAATCCCCACGTGAACCCTCTATGGCTGTTATTACAAATCCATTGCTGATTGAGGGCCTTCCCATGCCTTGTGGGTAAGGGGGTTATTTTACCGTACTCCGCCGTGCTGGTCAGGGCAGATATCACGCTCCATTGATGTTAGCCGTGGCCAGGAATCGAACTCAGGTCACCAGGTTCACGGTTGAGTGCACTCACCACGCGCCGCGCCACCACGCCGCCCACTGCAATAGTAATGAGCCAGATAATGCCAACGGCAATTACAATGGGAATATTTGTTAGTCGATGCTCCAAGTGAGCCTGTGTGTCCGTGTGCGTGTGCATGCGAGTGTGCCTGCGCGTTTAAGTTTAGCACATGATCGTTCAGGCAGCATAGGAGCCAAGTAACGTTAGATATTGGACAACGAATGTGTTTGTGAATCTTGACTTATGCATCATATACAGCGTGCCAACAATGAGGGTTCCTGCCAAACACAGAGTTATGGTTACTCTACCGTGTGGGACACATTATCTCTGTTAGATAACATCCTGTTTTAGCATATAGCTATTGCTGACAACTCACCCAGCACCAAAGCTTATTAACTTCGGTGTTCCCTAATAGTGTGCGGGGTATATATAATAGATGCCAGTCATGTTTCAACACTCCGAAGCCAAAAATGCATTGTGGCTGTCTGGCTGAAGTGTTCAAACTCACAGCAAGAAGGCTTGAGACTTCGATCCTTCAGTCAGTTTAAAACAAACAAAAAACGGGTGCCACCTTTTTTTCTAGGCGGTCAACGGCGGGTCATCCTGTGAACAAAAAACAACTGGGCCCCATGCCCTAGAAACTTAGAATTTGACGCTGCTCACTCGCGGCTGCCAGGAGCGACTCATGCCACCGACAAGCGCCTGTTTGAGCGCGCCAGAAGCGTTGCGGATTGGAACGTTGTAATCGCTCGCAAGAGTTATCGCGAGGTTGACGTCGAGTGAACTGCAGCTGTTAACTTTTCAGCAATGTTTGTTCGTACTTGAAGTATGCCAAAAGCGCACAAGCAAGGCGATGCAATTGTGGTGCGCAGTTGCGGAGTTTCGGCAAACGGATATCGCGAGAATTGTTACGTCACGACAACCATCAGTGTGAATGTGTTGGATTGTTTTGCACCGAACGCAGCCAACCCTGATAATCGGAGGTGTGGGGGGGGGGAGGACAACAAACTAAACACAAAAAACACGTAACATGGTATTGACACTTTGCGATGGCTGATTCGGACCATAATCTGGCGGTTACACCCAACCAGCTGATCCCAGGGCTGTGAGGACAAATTTATCTTTAGCTATGGGATGTGTTTTTTTGGCCAGTATGAAAAATAAGAATAGGGTTTACCCTTTCTGGAAATGAAACAGGAGTTGGGTTAATATGTTCAAACACCAAATGAATACCTTCTTGCAAGTAATCAATTCTGCATTAACCACACGTGCTTGTGGGTAAAACGTGCGAACAAAACTGCTCTGATAGTATATGCATTTTGATTTAAAACTTTCGTGATGGCAGGGATTCATATTCTTGGTTCTTTCGATAAAAAAGGGAAATCATAAAGTAATATAAATATTAGAAAAAAAAATTCTCACGACGTTTCGACTGCAACACAAGCAATCGTCATCAGGTGTGAAATCCACAGCAAGAAAATTTGAAAAAAGTAGTATATGCATTGTGGCTCTTGGTAAACGGGGGGTCTCTTGTGCGTCCGCCAGGCACTCGGCGGGCGACACAAAGTTGCCCTTCTGCCTGCAGTCGTGCGTGAAGCCTCTCGTCTACTCTGTGGCTGCCAACGAGCTGGGCACGCAGCACGTGCACCGATACGTGGGCAAGGAGCCGAGCGGACTGCGCTTCAACACCCTCTCGCTCAACGAGGACAGTAAGGGCCCGACACCACGCGTGGCAACCGCAGTTGCCGTGATTTAATTTCTTTACGATATCGTGTAACTTTTTTTTGCGTTTTTAGTTTGTTGTCCGTCCGTCCCCCCGCACCTCCGATTTGCGTGGTTGCCTTCGTACGGTGCAAAAGAAGTTTGTACATACGTACATATAGGGTGCTTTAAAAAAATGTTAAAACTTCTGAGAGTTTGCAGCTCTGGAGACCACCTGGAGAAGATTCCAGGCATGTGTTGACATTGATGGTGAACTAATGTAGGCTCTTAGATGAATTCCTGCAGTCACGAAAGCTTTAAATCGAAATTTAATGTAGACTCTTTGACTTTTGAAGCTATTAACATAAATTTGTTATCATGTTTCAGTGTATTATCCGTTCTTATTACATGAAAAACGATAGTCCCATATAAGTGTTAACATTTTTTGTCAAGCACCCTGTATATACACCACGTGGCAACCAGAGTTCCAACAATGTCCTTTTTCACGATACCGTGTGACTTTTTTTCGAGTTTAGTTTATTGTCCTTCCCCCCACACCTCCAATTAGCACGGTTGGCTACGTATGGCGCGAAAGACGTTCGACATACACACATTGACGGTTGTCGTGACTTTACGATTCTCATGATATCTGTTTGCCTAAACTCCGTAATTGTGCATCACAATTGTCTCATCTTGCTTTTGCGCTTTGACATACTTCAAGTACGAATAAAGATTGCTGAAAAGTGAATAACTGCGGTTCACTCAACGTAAGCCTTACGAATAAGCCTTACGAATGATTATAACTTCGCAATCGGCAGCGCTTATGGCGCGCATGTGACGTCAGGACAGAGGGAAGTTCGCAAGATGGATGGTTTAACCGTAGGAGGCATCAACACAATGGATGTTTTTTTTTTTTATAATTACATAGGAGCTTTCTTCTCGTGGCCAGAGAAGCCATCTGATCGTGACGCGTGTGCATCTGCCTGTGTCCCGCTTGTGCAGACAAACCCCACAACCCCATGGTCAACTCGGGCTCCATCGTCATCACGTCCCTCATCAAGGTCGGTGGATTCAGGCCATCGCGTAGAATAATCGTGAAATTTTAATTCGTGGCCAGACAGCCGCATGGACTTTCGGCATGCGTTTTGAAGTTTCAATTCAAGCGGCACTTCTAAAAGCGGTTTCCTTCTCTGCTTTCACAGCAAGGAGCCAGCACAGCAGAGAAGTTTGACTACGTAAGTGAGGCGGCGAGTTCCCTACACACCTCGGAACGGTCACGGCGTACATGTTTGTTTAATACGAATCTGTGAAGTTCGTATGAACGTGGTCTGATCAATGATACTTTATTATAATTTGACGAATGGCTGACCATCGTAGCCATGGCTTTCACAAAAATTTAATTGGTCGAATATACCTCCAACGGATAACATTTGTAAACACACTGCACGTTGACAGTGTGCCGCCCACTATACGTTCACCGCGTTGCCTAATACCACGCAGGCTTTTGCGGCTGTGTTGTGCGGCTCTCCGATGCGTTTTTCGGGTTGTCGGGCCGCACGCTGCTCGGTGGTGATGTTCGATGTTTCGCTCCACGCACTCGGAGCTTTCTTCAGAAGAAGCTCCCAGTATGTCGAGCGGAACAACATCCTGAACAAGACGCAGTAAAATCCGAAAATTACAGCCAGACAGCCGTGGGCATTGCATAACATTCACGATGCGCGTGTAATTGAAGTGACATTGAGCTACGTGGTGCTGTGCTTAGAGTGCACGGCTTCCAGTCAAGGCTTTGAGTTGAAATCCCGTTTGGGGGTCACCTCAGCCTATCATCTCTCTAGGTTCGATGAAACGATGAACTGCTTTGTGGGAAATCACCAGTGGTTGTCACACAGAGAGACTGCAAGTTCAGTCTGCTACCCATCCTGCCATGGCAGTACCCAGGCAATAATGGACACTTGTTAATTGTGTTCCCTCCTTGTGTTGTCACGGTTGTGTTTGCACAGGTAACAGAGAACCTGGCCAGGATGGCCGGACACGAATACATTGGCTTCAGCAATGCCACGTGAGTGTTTTGCGTTGCAGCGGTGGTAAACTGTAAACAGCGAGCCATGTAAAGGCAAATCCAAATTGCCACTGGTGAACCCTTTGCGGTGTCACGTCACTGGCACCGAGCCACCGTGTGGGGACGAACACCGCCCCATGTTTGCAACAGAGGAGTGGAATTGATCGTTGTTGAGTGTCTACTTTGTTCCGTGGGCACTTCCAAATCATTGTTGCATTGAAGCATTTGTTTATACTGCATAACCTTGGACCTGCTAAACCAATGTCAGTGGGTGGGTACCCCGATGTTGTGAACATTAGGAAACTGGTTCAAGGTTGTCATGTTTAAACAAGTGTTCCTAGAATTAGGCCCATTGGTCAATAAACACAATGTTGTTTCCATTCATAAGCCACTTCGTTGAGCTATCATTTGTGGCCAGGTCGCTTCTGAAAAAGAGCTACATAGCTCAGTGGGCCTTACCTGGTAAAGTAAAAATAAATCGTTAAAAAAGGCCTCTTATATTTACCCACCTTCCGCAAGCCACTATAGTCACTGGTAATCGAGTACCAGGGATGATCAAAATCCCGTGGTCTGGCACGTGTCATTACGTTTCAGTCCATGTCACATGGCCTCATTGATGCATCACTCCAGCCTGCTGTGTCAGAACATTGAGAACCTGCTGAAAGCCGCAATGACGTTGTTCATCCTGATCCTGGGAAATTCTGTTACATGCGGCAGTGTTCAGCGTCTGTGTTTTGTGGTTTTAATTCCACGGCTGCGATTGACCATCTTTACTGTACAGACTACACGATGATGCGGCTGCTGCTTTTAGCAGTGGTGCACAAATAACGGCATTCTCAACCCTGTTTGTCAACAACACTTGCCTTAAAAGGAAAAATGAGCAATGTTTCAGGCAATGGCCTTCGAAGAAAATAAATGTAATTGTATTATTCATAGATATTCCGTACTGTACATGATCACATACAGAAGACGGTATGAGATCGTTTCCTCCGATTCTGTTGCATGTAAGTACGTGTGTGTGTTGAACTTCTTTTGCACTGTACGTAGCCAACCGTGCTAATTGGAGGTGCGGGTGAGCGGGTGCTCTCCCATGTGTGCCTGAGTATTGGTCGAGCGAGTGAATCGGTTGATCTCGCGTCGATTGACGACATCACGTGAACTCAGTGGATGACAAGGCATGTTAACGCTATCTCCTGTCCGTTTAATATATCTCCTATTCGCAAACGCTGCCTCCTGTCCGTGTGGCACAGATTCCAGTCCGAGAGGCAGACTGGGGACCGCAACTTCGCCATCGGCTACTATTTAAGGGAGATGCAGGTGAGGAGCTGTCCTTGGGTGAGCGTGGAGCTCGCCAGGCACGCGGCAACGTCACAGATGCACGTGCAAGGTTTACAGAGGGCACGTAATTGCTCATCTATACTCAGCTATGTGATGCTTCTTGTTTGTTGTCCTTCCCCGCACCTCCGATTAGCGCGCTGGGCGACGTACGGTGCGAAAGAAGTTCAACATACATACATATCTTGTGTTTTGGATTCAGGATTATTCCTGCCACTCAAGCCTAATTGCTCGCCTATCCGCTGACCAACTTCACACGGCCACCACGGAAACTTGAGTGGGCTACACAGTCCCGGTTCCTCCTTGCGCTGTTCGAGTCGGGGGATAGGGAATTTGATTGGAGCTCGCGTGACCTAGGGGTGAGGACTTTGGCATAGGAATGTGGAAAGAGCGCGCCGAGGTCGTGAAGGGGACGTTGCGATGAGCGGGGACGTGCGCGACGGGAGCGAGGAGGGAACCTTAGCGGGACAGGCATTGGAGTGGCACCCAAACGCAGGCGACCAAGGGGAAGAGACCCCCCCCTGGACGTCGGCCGCTGCTCTGCAAAGCACAAGTCTGGCCCGATGTTGGAGAACCGTTGCCGCGTCCGGATTGCAGTTCCGAATTTTTTACCGGATCCTTTGCAGAGACCATGAAGATAACAGAATGGAACTTGCCCTCCGCCAAATGCCCTGGAGCGTGGAGATACTTTACGTATCTGTGTTCAGCTTCTTTCGCGCACCGTACGAAGACAACCGTGCCAATGGGAAGTGCGGGGGAAGCATAACAAACGAAACACAAAAATGAGTTCTAAAGAAATGGTCTTCATCGTTTCTGTTCACGTAGAGGGACCACGGAAGAAATTGTACAGTTAAAATCACCGACTAATGTTGTTCACTTGGTCAATGAAAGCATGGTTACGGTATTGGTGGTGTCGTTAACTGAGTGCGTCTCTCTTCTTACCTCTTCTAGTGCTTTCCTGACAACACCGATCTGACTGCCACCTTGGATCTCTACTTCCAGGTATGATTGCACAGGGAAACCCTTCTTGCGAAGTTATGGGAAAGTGTTCGGTCAGTATTAACTTAGCAGTTTAACACGTAGGCTTTTGCGACCAATATTATGCATAATATCGTTTTTTTAGGTTAAAGCGCGTAAATATAAATGTGTTGTTAAATCCGCCATCACCCGACACATCCCAATTAGTCAGGTTTGTCACGTAACCAAAACATTCCAATTCTTTGGAGAGTAAACCCACAATATTTATAATTAACTTAGCAGTTTGAACTTGAGTCATAAGTGTCAGACTAGTCGATGACAACTTATCTAAGTTTATCGGGGGCTTAGTACGTGGATTCTATGTGGTCCTCTTTCGTCTAGTTGACTCAAGCAGTCAAAAAGGTTGCCCGCTCTTCGTGATTCAATGCTTCACTGGACTGCCGTCTTGAATCACAATAATTCTCCCACTGCGCGTCTTCATTCAGAAGAGTCAATTTCGTCTCGTCACCATCAGCTCAGTGTCTTTGGTGCGTAGTAGTCGTAGTCTCCGTCGTGATTTTCATTCACTCACAGTCATCGTTGATCGGAGTAAAACACAACTTGTGGACGATCATAATCGTCGCCGATTTCCTTAATGAAATTAACCCTGTGTTCCGTGACCCTAGGCAAACCCGCTTGCTTCTATCATCCTCCCGCCTCGTCCCACCTGACAACCCCTTAGCCTATAACCAATGACCATCGAAGTGTCATCGTGTTGCCTCGGCATTCCGTGGATGCGCGCAAGCCGTGGAAAGTGGCGACGCAAGGGAAACGGAGCCCGTGGCTTCTGCTGGGAAGTCTGATGATGCCTGGCGCCTCCCGCATGTGCGCTTTTTGGCATCCCGTCGCGCTATCCCAGATATATTTCGTCACGGCGGCGGTGCTTCGGAAAGTGTAAGCTCGGGTGGCGCTGCGATGCGAGAGAGCGTGCCAGCGCGCCGCGTCTCGCCCCCTCCTGGCCTCGCGCAGCCGATGGGAGAATCTTGATTTTGTCGAAACAGGGAACGATTGCTGCATTCGCGGCGTGGGTTGTCCGTGAACGCTATTGGTCTGCTGAATTAAAAAAGTGTTCCTAGATGGGAAAAAGTCAAGTTTCTTGAAGGGTCCATTTCACTCGTTGGCGAATCCGCAGTGGTTTGACTTGACCTGACCGTCAAGTGTTGCTTCACTCAAATGAACATTGTGTGAGCCGATGCTGGGCATTCCACATTCTTGTGATGAGGGCCACTTGACCTTCCACAGAGTTATCTATGGGCTGAGATTTAAATTAATAATAGATATCAAGTTTAACGAGGAATGATGTTTGCATGTGTTGTTCGTACAGTAACCAAGTGTGGGAATGGAACATAGTGTAAGCAAAGAGATCTGTAGTTTTGCCATTGCTGAGTTGATAGAGTGGCAGAGCATGCAGTCATGGGGGCATAATTAACTTCCTGGCCAGGGCTGACCCAGGCCGTTATCCCTCAAGTATTTATAAAATGAGAATCGCTTTCAGTGTCATAGATTGTCATTCTCAAGAATTCTACTTCCCACGTATCCTGCTACAGGGAGCCGTTTGCTGCACGGTAGTAAAACTTTAACCTCCAGACCTGTAATTTAACAAATTGCATGAAAACTCAGAAGAAACATGATGCGTGTTTTTGTGCACTGTATCGGTTACCCCGAGCTGAGACCATTAACCCGTTAACACTTTAGAACCCAGTTTAACCGCGGGCGGCCGATGCCCGAGTTCAAACCGAGGAAGTCAACCGGTGCAGGCTCGGCGCTCCGACGGCTGAGCCAGCCGGTCACCTCCACGGTGCCCCGTCCCCCCCCCACGGTGAACCGGCGCTGTCCCCGTTACCGCGAGCTCGCTCACCCCCCTCCCTGCCTCCACGTCTCTCCCCCGCCGCAGCTGTGCTCCATCGAGGTGACGTGCGAGTCGGGCTCCGTGATGGCCGCCACGCTGGCCAACGGCGGCATCTGCCCCATCACGGGCGAGCGGCTGCTGAGCCCGGAGGCCGTGCGCAACACGCTGAGCCTCATGCACTCGTGCGGCATGTACGACTTCTCCGGCCAGTTCGCCTTCCACGTGAGTCTCCTGCGATTGCGCGCACCCGGCACGATAACTATAATCATAATAATAGTTACGATTTGTTATTTCTCGCTCGTTGGCCCAGGAGAACCCCCCGTGACTTTTGCACGACGGTCCTGCGGAGTCTTTTTTCACGGTTGCGGGGGTGATGTTGCTGCTGCTGTGTGGAATCCCACGATTTTGAGTGATTTGGAGGTAATGTTTCAGCATTGGGATGTGTGGCCAATAGCTCCGATTAGCACGATTAGCTACGTACGGTACGAAAGAAGTTCAACATACACACACACAATTCCAGTTGCATCGTGTGTGTTTTTTTTAGCTATGGGAATAAACCAGAGAACCCAGAGGAAACCCACGTGTTGAACACGGGGAGAACGTCGCAACTCATTCTTGTTTTTGCTGGTTCTCTTTTGTTTCTGTCTCATTTATATGGGTTGATTTGTTCCAACAACCTAAGTGTAATGTTAACATACATTCATTGTTCGATCATTCTTTTTGTTTTACTTTTTTAGTCTTAGTCCCCAATGTTATTCAAAACGTGCACAATTCCACGCACGCTATTAATTGAATCGTTGAATGGCAAGCGCACACAGTGACGAGTTCCCATCATCACTTCATTCTCACTTCAAGTTTCCTCTCTCAATTCGACGACCCGAGAGGGACAGTGGTGGCCGAGTCGACCCCTGACCAGAACAAAATTTTGCGTCCTGCCGATTGCGAAGTCAATCACTCTTAACCGTAGCGTCACCCCTTCCCATCAGCCCCAAACACGTGCTCCTGTCCTCGTCGTCAAGAGCTCGGGAGAACGTTGTACGAAAACTGTAAGGTATCTGGTGCCCAGTGGAAAATTGTCGAGACGCAGTGTGGCACGGCTGGGACAAATTCTTTGCTTTGGAATCTCGTGGTTTAAATCACTCGCGCAAAGAGCCCGGCAGAGGCAGGGTTGATGATTCAATTCCACAAATAAGTTGACCCCTGATTAGCTGCGCCTGCTCTCGCGACCTTCGGCTTTTGTTACGCGGATAAACAAATGATGCAACATATGCTATGGCCTTGGCATTAGTGCACATTACTAGTTTCGTATTTTTACAAACATGAGCGATACGAACATTTGTGAATAATTTTAAATGTGCTTTCACATGTCCGGGTCACACTGCCGCAGAACACACGACATCCATGCAGAAGCCTGCGAGTTTACACCCCGTTTTGGGGTGACTCGGCCCGTCATCACTTTTAGGCAGATAAAATAAGGACCACTTTGTATGACGTTAATAGCGACTATCTTATAAACAGACTGCCATGTTTTTTTTTGGTAATACAGTTTTCATATATTTATTTTTTACCGACAGTCTGAATTCACAACCTTATAGACAGCGGTTATATAATTGTGGTTGAAATGTTGGGAACATATCTATGGTATGCTTACATTTTTTTTTTTTTATCAACAACCCTCAGTGATTTTTAGCAGTGCATAACAGGAGCATTTGAAACAATCGCAGCCAAGGTGCCGGTGTACACCGGGGAGACTCAGATCTGGATGCGAAGGGATCTCAGATGCATCGGGCAGCATGTGGAGGCTCAGAGGGATGAGAATCGTACGATAAAATCCGCACTGCGCCAAGTGAGAGCGCGTGCATGTAGGTTTATCAACTCGGCTGACACGTTGCCAGCTAATTATAGTTATTTATAAATAGGCGATTAATTTATGGATACCGCGTATGATGCAATATCGTTTCCAGTGTATATTGTTTTCCCGGGTGCCCAGTCGTGTCGGGCGGTGCGCTTTGCAGATTGCTTGGCCTCGCGATCGGAAAAAGCCTCGAATTAAAATCGCAACGTCGACTTAGGCCATCTGAATGCCGGATCGCTTTTGTTATCATGGCGATTATAATATCACACCGCATGGTGTAGATTTCGATTTGGGGTGAGTTGAACGATGGCAGATGTTCTGCACGAGGTCCGGATTAATGCCCAGACCAGGTTTAGATTTTAATTGTCATTGGTATTGTTCAACGTGGCTAGGAATTTAACATAGTTCGCTGTGATTGTAACATGGTGCGATTAACCACCAGCACCACCACCACCGGGCAGAGACGCGCTCTGCAACCTGACGGCCCTGCACCGGTTGAAGTGATTTGCTGGAGGAATTGGGAAGCAAAAATAGTCCCCCAGGGACGTGGCTGAATGTGTCTCTTGTGTCGGCCGACGCTCACGCGGCAGTGCTAAAGTACCACTGCTGGGTTCTGGCAAAAGCAACGGTACGATTCCGTCAGGAACAGGGAGCATTGCCATTGACAGCGATGTCTCATAGAAGTACATTTCAACCGAAGAAAACTCCGATATAAGTAAATTAGCAAATGAGACGTCTGTTTAATTTTAAGTTTGAAGTAACATTTGAGTCCACTGGCCGCTGCTAATTGCAGACAAATGTTTTACGGGAGATTTTATTTAAATAAGAAACCTTTGACCTATTTCTGAGTCATCAGCTTGGTGTGATTGTTTTATTCAAATGTCACTGGTTGTGACGGTCCGCACATTTTTTATATAATTTCTGTTGTACGTGGTGTTGAACTGTATTCTCTCCGTTATATTTCAATATCCTTATTAGCATGATGCCATGAGATGAATACATTTACATTTGGAACTCTGACAGCTAGCAGTGTACCACCTTGTATAACAGCGACCGTTTTTGTTTGTCTTATTCCCCCAGTGGTTGTCAGTCAATGAGGTTGCCCCTTTCATGTGCACGTCTATGTGTGTGCGTGTATGTGTGTTTGTGCGTGTGTGTGTGCGTGTGTGGACGTGTGTGTGTGTGCGTGTGCGCGCGTGTGTGTGCGTGTGCGCGCGTATGCGAACGTGCTTGACAGGTGGGGCTCCCGGCGAAGTCGGGCGTGGGAGGGGGCATTCTCCTGGTGGTCCCCAACGTCATGGGCATCATGTGCTGGTCCCCGCCGCTCGACAAACTCGGCAACAGCGTCCGGGGCATCCACTTTAGCCAGGTGGGCTGCAGCTCCACCACGCACCCCCCCCCCCCTTCACACCACGGCCGCACCTTCAACTTCGTCTCAAAATAAATGAGAGGAAAGCTCCAGCGGCCTTGTCGTTTGATTGTCCACACCACTGCCGGTGGAGGGGCCTCCACGGAAGGGGGAGCTCTTGAGGGACCATCGAGGGAATGTTTGGCAAACTCCTCCACGCTGGATAAGCGTCTTGGGAGAGGTGCGACGACCGACGATTGACGTGCGCGTGTGCGGCTACCTCTCGTTTTTACGTGAGGGGGGGGGGTCGTGTTCTCGGACAACGGCGCGTAACTCAAAGTCGCGTAAATTCAACGGAATAAATCGTTAAAAAAGACCTCTTCTATTCAACCACCTTCAAACGGACACCTCTGGTGCTGCCAACAAGCGGCGCTTCTGGTTTACTCCAGTCGCCTCCCAGCCAGAAATCGGACAGCAGAAGGAATAAGTTTACGACTGAAGGTGTTCACAACCCCCACCGCCCCCTCCCCTCGCTTTCTTCCTGCCGAGCAGGAGCTCGTGTCAATGTTCAACTTCCACAACTACGACGACCTCAGGCACTTTGACAAGAAGCTGGACCCACGACGCGAGGGTAGGGAAGCTCAGGTGGGCACTCAGCACTCACTCTCGCCGTTAGCCGGGCGCTGTCATTCACGCCCGGGGTAGGCGGATCATCGTCCACGCACACGCATTCGTGAAACTTCTTCCTTACCCCGTGGACCCACCCGTACTGGACATCTGTAAAAAAAAAAAGATTCTGATTCGGAATGTCGTGGGTTTACTCTCCAACACACCGGTGTGCTGAAGTAGTAACTAACTGGCACTTTTTATTTACGTGACAAACCTTACTAATTGGCTGTGTCGGATGGTGGTGGGTTAACGACACATTTATATTTACGCGATCTAACACCTAAAAACCTTTAATATGAATCTTAATATTGGCTGAGAATACGTGACACTGGTACATCTTTACCCGTTTTACAATTTCTCTACCGCTTCCTCGGTTGGCGACAAATTCTACAGAGCTCTTCACTATACCGTGTGACGACGAATTATCTGTCTGTGAGAAACTAAATATTATCCTCATTTTGCTTTGCAAGCGAAGCGGTGATTGTAAGTAGGACCTCGCGTACGCGTGGGCTAAATGTATCCCTGTGCTCACCTCTTAGGCTAAAACGGTGGTGAACGTCCTCTTCGCTGCCTACAGCGGGGATGTGTCGGCGCTTCGAAGGTAAAGAGTTGCATTTTAAATCTTACAGAACCTTGCACGAAGCATCAGACTCCGTTGCAGCGGTATATGCGATGCACGCGTGTGTGAATACTTGTTCAACGTGTGTCAGTAATGAATGAAAACCCATCCCATATAAGGGGAGAACATACAAACTCTACACATGAAGGCGCCCGAGACACAAGACTTCCCGTAGCTCCACCCTGCCACCTTACGCTTGCGTGCGTGCTTGCGTGTTTATTGCTTTGCCGTAGATACGCCCTCTCGGCGATGGACATGGAGCACAGGGACTACGACTACAGGACGGCGCTGCACGTGGCGGCAGCAGAGGGTGAGCCCTTCCCCATTGCTCAAAAGCTCTCGGGACTCATCCAAATGGTCGTTGGCCAAACATTCAGTTCTTTTGAGCTGGTGGTCTGGATAAGGCCGAGAGCTTTTGCACCCCCGATTAGCATGGCCTGCTACGTACGGCGCCAAAGAAGTTCGACGCACGTACGCGCACGCAGTGCACGTCTCTCGGTGTCACGACATCCCACGGCGGTAGCCCCCCCGGCACCCCGCCGCGGGCGGCAGGGTGGCGCTGTGTCGGCGGTTGGCTGTGGTGGCGACCGAGCCCCTTGACGCTGGGCTAAGCGAGCGGGTGCGGCTCTCCGGAGCCGCCGCTGCTATCCCCGGCGGTGTGACCGCCCCCGTGCGGTATCGAGCCAGGCCATGACCTCTGCCCCCCCACACCCCACCACCCCCCTCCCCCCCTCGGCCGTGTCGTGGCAGGGCACTTGGACGTGGTGCGGTTTCTCTTGGAGTGCTGCAACGTGAGTCCCACGCCCAGAGACAGGTGGGTGCGCTGCGCGGCGCCATCGCTCTACGGCTCTGTTACGCAACGGAATCGGACACCCGGCGAAATCACCGATCGGGAGATCTGCCCATGTACAGTGTGTAAGAAAGTAGGCGTGGTGTTGCTCAAAGGGGGCGTGTCTTTGCCCGTGTACGGCCTTGTGTATCGTGAATCAGGGTTAATCGTATCGATTCTGCTCAGTGGATCCGGCAGCCAGCTCCAAGTCGATCGTAATTACGGGTCAATCGCCGTCTCGATCCATGGATTGAGTCACCCCATTGGTGACTATATCGTCATGTGACACACCCCCTTTGTTTTGATTGGCTGATATCTGCATGATCGGTGATTCCGTCACAGTCCTGTTTTTATTGTATCACAGCGCCGCCTTTATCTTTGTCCTGGCTGTAAATCCGTGAACGCCATGGAAAGATATGGCTGCTGTAAATAAAAACAGTACTATTTTTATCTTTGATTTGTTTTATGTGCATACTGCGTAGCTGCATCAGACCACGTGAATGTGTGTCTGTGTGCGTGTTCGTGTGTGTGTGCGTGTTTGTGTGTGAGTACATGTGTGTGCGTGCGTGTTTGTGCGTGCGTGCATGTGCGTGCCTGTTTGTGCGTGCGCATGTGTGCGTGTGCGTGCGGGTGTGTGTGCAGGTGGGGTAACACGCCGATGGCCGACGCCGTGCTCTTCGGACACTCGGAGGTGGCGCAGCTGCTCCGGGAGTACGAGCTCAAGTACGAGCTCGAGGAGAGCGTCGCCGACAAGGCCCGGGCCTTGCAGGGGAACCCACAGGACATGGCCTAGCAGCTCCCGACCGCGAACGCTCGCGCAGAGCGAGGGGGTCCCTCGGGCCGACCGGGCCGCACTTGAGCTCCGCCTCCGACAAGAGACGGCTCGGGCTCAATGTGGAAGCTCTGAGGCTGAGCAAGAGGGTGCCTGGGCTGTGAATGTGGCCATCAGACTGTGCTGATGTCCAAGTTGTGGGCCCCCCTCCGGGCTGGGGCGGGTGGCTGTCAGTGTTAACGAGAAGGCTTGGTGCCGTGATACGTCGATGGATGTTCGTCATCGTCCGAGTGTGCAGTCTGTGAAGCGTAATCTTAGGACTTTGCAATTTTAAGCTTCCGTTGCAAATGTGAATTTCACTCCGACAGGCATCCTGGGTTAAGAACAAGTAGCACACTATAGGATAAGTATCAGGAACATGGCTTGTCATTAGGGGCAAGTGGCCCCACAGTAATATATATTAAAACAACTTTAGGAATACCTATCTGCACGTTAATGTGCTAGTGGCACGTTAACGTTTTTGCACGAGATAAAATAACATTTCGCAAAGGGGGGGTGGCTGCTCGCAATTGGAAACTAAAACGACTGCGTAGCAGCTCCGCGGTGAGCAAGCGTGCGAAGCGATCGTGAAGGACTGCTGCTGCTGCTACTGCTGCTGCTGCAGCTGCTGTTGCTGCAGCTGCTGCTACTGCTGCTGCAGGGCTGGCCCCTAGCAGCTGCCGTGCAGCGACGACGCTGGGCTCGGCAGCAGAGGTTGCAAACGGGTTTTGATCCCTTACCCGTACCCGGCCGCACCAGGGTCGCAAATGGGTACCCGTACCGGCCGGGTATGGGTAGCCGTTCCCTACCCGTACCCTACCCTACCCGAAATGAGTGACAAACGGCTACTCACCAGTGACTCACGGCTTACCCGTACCCGGCCGCACCAAGGTCGCAAACGGCTACCCGTACCCGGCCGGGTATGGGTAGCCGGGTATCGGGTAGGGTACGGGTATCGGGTACCCGGTTGCGACCTCTGCTCGGCAGTCACAGGGCCAGGCCTGGCAGTCACATGGCCAGGCCTGGCAGTCACATGGCCAGGCCTGGCAGTCACATGGCCAGGCCTGGCAGTCACATGGCCAGGCCTGGCAGTCACAGGGCCAGGCCTGGCAGTCACATGGCCAGGCCTGGCAGTCACATGGCCAGGCCTGGCAGTCACATGGCCAGGCCTGGCAGTCACATGGCCAGGCCTGGCAGTCACATGGCCAGGCCTGGCAGTGAGTGAAGGAGCCCGGGAGAGTCGGGGGCCCCTTCACTGCTGTGCCCTGCTGCAGCCACTACACCCCTTCCCCCATATCCCCCCAACTCTATAGGCTGCCGTACAGCAACAGCTGTGGGCTCGCTATTTTGGTTTCTTGTCGACCAGAGGATTGACAAGGTGCAGGTGCACTCCGTGTGTGTGTGTGTCGTGGAGCCAGTCGTCTTTTGGTCAAGTAAAACAAAAACTGCTGATTTCTTTCAGAGTCCACTGTTGTAAATTGAGTTTCAGTTCTTCCTCACATGCACTTGTTTTTACTCATGAGTACTTAAGGACATAAGATATAGTTATGTATATACTGTACATGAGTTATTGTACAAATGTTTTTAATCACGTGTTTGTGTGAGCGGTTGGGCTATGCATGACGTAGCTAAACATCCAGATTTCAAGAGCCTTATAGCCGAGCAATTAAAATTTTACTCTTTAATACGATTAAGGCCTTAGATTACATGCTAGTCACTTTTACCAAAGTCCAAAACCCATTGGACACCTTTGGGCCCAGTGTTCCTGTGAGGCGGATGGTGAGAAAAACCAATGTCCTTGTTTAAGGTCCACTCAGATTTCAACCAAATTTGAATTTGATTTGATTCAATCAATCTCAAGGTTTAGCAGTCATCAAAGCCGATGTATTTGTTGTCACCTATACCTTGCCATCGCTTCTTTACTTCTGACAGATCACACAGATGTTACAAAGTCAACAGCCAATTTCCATGGTCCACTATTATTCTCATGCCATTTGGCTTGCATTTTTCTTTTTGGGTTTCTGACAACTGGCTATCCACTCCAGTGTCTGTATCAGTAATCGCCCTCCGCTGTCCAACAATATTACAATGGTGGCATTTTGTTTCAGAGTGTGTATGCATAGTTTCGTGCACTCACACTTGCAAAGAGTCATCGGTTGATTTCTTGCAGCTACCCTGTACATTTTGCAGTGAATGTTTGAAGCTTGGCTAAATCTATTACGTCTTGATTTGAAGCTTTCGTGGCTGCAGAAATCCATACCCTCTGGTTCTTTTGGTAAAGTCACGTGGGTAGAAAAAATAACAAAAGAAAACACGACGTTTCGGTCGCAACACAAGCGTCCGTCTTCAGGTGAAGGGTCCATCTTCAGGTGAACACAAGTCTTCAGGTGAAGACGGACGCTTGTGTTGCGACTGAAACGTCTACGTGACTTTACCGAAAGAACCAGAGAGTATAAATCTATTACTTCAATACGTATTTTTCTAATTATCGGATGTATTACTCCATTAATCAGTCAGCCCTGTGTCACGTGTACCGCTGGAAGGGAGGTGATGAGCGCGTGCCTGGCGAGGATCATCTGAATAATGAGCCGTGCTGGGTGTGGCTTGTCGGGGGTTTCCCACCTTCAGGAGGCAGGATGTTGGGGGTGGCCGCCATTTTGAAAGGGGTCCAAGTAATCGACGACAGAAAAGCAGTGCATCACACTTCTTATTTTCTGAATACGTTTTTATCATTAAATCGTCACAGCCCAAGGGGTTGCAATCAACTGCCACCTTGTATAAGTATATGGGTTTATTGTGTTGGAAATTTGTTCAAACCATAATAAGATGGCCATGAAAATATGTAAAGAAAAAAAACTGTAATCCTTGAATTCTGACAAGAGTTTTGACATCGCTGCGAGTGATGGCCTTGATGGTAAAACTAGAGACTTGATATATTTCTCATGACGAGACCTAAAAACTAGAAATTAGTGTTCTGAAGCACATAACGCCTTAATGTATTTCATCTTTAATTGTTGTTAGGGTGGACATTTTTCCCATTTTAGTTTTGGAAATTACACCTGGGGGTTGTGTGCAAGGGTTCCTCGGAACATTTCTCAGTCGGGCAGCACAATCGCCGGAGAAACAAAACCTTCTGATGTAACGCAGCTGCTGTGCATGTTGCTTGCCTGCATCTGGGTCCGTCTCCAGGACCTCCACAGATTGTAGCAGATCGATACTGGGCGAGCAATTGGCTAACTTCCCTGTGGCAGATGCCACGCCATTTTCTGTGGCCATAACGTTGCATGATGCATTCGTTTTTTTTGGCACAAATTATTTACTCTTTAGGGTATTTTCTTAAAATTTTACTCCAAGCCTTGGGTGTCCTACTCTTGAAAACTATTCTCTACACATCTTGTGCCGGGTGTAAGCCACGTGTACATATTGCATTTTGTTCCGAAGGTGAACACTGCTTTATTTAAGGGATGGTTACTTTCTGTACCATGTTTTGTATGTTGTTGAGTGTAAGATGTGGATGAAGCACACCATCAAGGTGCTGCCTGCACTTCTGGCTGTGTTGGACTTGAAGCACATTTTCAATGAAGCATTTTTTTGTTTGCCAAGTGCTGTTTGTGTGTTGTTTTCCCAGCGTGAATTAAAGCACATTTCTTCATTGGCTCTGCGTTGCTTTAAAACTAGCGTGCTTTGTGTGTGGTCTAAGCGACCCAAATAGAGAATCATCTTAGTGTCTCCCTATTGAAGTGAGCAGTGCTTATCACCGTTGGAGCCCTTTTGCCAGAAGTGCAAATTCCACATTCTTCTGACGGGGAACATTTTCGCCTGCCCAGATGTTATGTCCTTTAACCAGAAAATTCCCAGCGGTTGTGAGACTGTTTCAGCAGTCGTGTAATGAGGTATTTCACCCATTCATTGTATTTCAAAAAGCATTCCGTATTTTGCTTGTGGAAGGAACCCAGAATATCTGATGACTTTGAATCAAAGACATAATTAATTATGGACCAACCGTGCTGAAGACCAATTCCAGAGTGGCCGCCAAAGGAGAAAATACCAAGAGGATCTCCACTGAGATGGAATTGTTTGACATTCATGAAATCGGCTCGTGCGCAGGGGGTAAAATGATGGCTCGTTGCATCGCGAGGCTGAGATAGATGGTAACTGCTTGGGGAGACCTCCGTTGACCGGTGAATAGACCGCGGCTAATGATAGAGCAAAGGGGAAGTCCAGCTGATAACATCGATGGCTCCACATTGTAACATTCTGCTAGACCCTGCATCTGCTGCACTGTTGAGGCTAAACAGGATGAACTTGGGGCTTCTGGAGGACCACTTCTGTTGACTCCGTATAAATGTGTAGTGCAATAGCGCCGACTGTTGTCCAGCAACGGCAACTGCGGCAGACGAGCAGCACACACGCCGGTGAGCAGAGACACGGTGGGTGTGCTGGCAGGGCGGAGGAACTGGGGCAAGGGTCAAGGAAGACCCCATCTGGAAGCCCCTGGAACCTGCTAGTGGGTTCGAGAAGGGAGGCATGGCCAGGATGGAGCCAGGCCGCGCCGGGTAGCATAAAAGCAGCTGAGAGCGTGAGCTCAGGGCTGCCGGTTCTGGGATTGGGCTCGTCTCGTCGTCGCTGTCGTCTTCGCCGCCTTCGTCGCTGCCCTCTTCGCTAGATATTGCGCGGCCGGAGAGTGGTTGGCTGTCTCAGTGGGCGCCATCGGTGTTACATGGTCAGGGTTGTGTTAAGGCGAGGCTCGACTAGGGAGAGAGCGAGGGCGAACCTGTGAAGGCGTTAATAAAGAAGGTGCTCTTGAAAAACCCTGCCTCCCGCTCCGCTGACACTACAACTGGGTAAGTGAGGATGACAGGAACATTTTGCCACAAATGTCAGTTGTGATAAACCCGTAAGCAAATGATTAACATTCGCAACTTGGGTTAAGTTAAAATTTTGAAAACTTACATCTTTTGGAATTATTTTTGTTAAATGTATGTATACTTTTACTTATTTGCTGAATTTAAACAGTGCATTTTAGGTGCGGCACAGTCCATAACTCGATTATCACGCTTGGCTACGTACGTGCAAAACAAGTTCACCTTACATAACCTCTCCTTGAATCGTTTTTTTGTTATCGCACCTGTGCCGTGAATTTTATTCTGGATAACCGTGCCTTAGCTGTGATGTTACTCCCAGTTAGACTGAAGTACCATGCCCGTACACTTGGTGGTGCTGTGTGCCCATTCATTTTTCCTTCTGAACACAAGCCATTGCTTCGGGAAGTTTTCTTTTTCATCGGCTATTCAGTGCCAAAGATACCACCAGTACCTTTGGCAGGCATCAGCTTATCCGCAAGAAGTTTAACTGGTACATCTTCACAAGATGGTGATCATTTTATCAACCGCAGAGGGATAATAATGATAGAATCGCACCTATTCATAATGCTATATATCGTTCACGTTTTGCTGTACTTACAGTTATATCGAGTCAATTGCATCAGCAGAGGTAGTCCGCGGTGATGCGATTGGTTTGGTAATCTCCACAGGTAAGTCGATGATCATGCAAACACAAACATTGCATTTCATCGAACATTTCTCCAGCTTCGCAATCAAACACCGCGGTGCGAAGTGCTTAAAAAAAATTTCAATTATGGGAGGAATTAGCCGCTCCTAAAAGGATTTCCAGAAATCCGCGATTTATTCGCAGATTTTATGATCAACAGTCACACGGATTATGGGGGAAGAGTTGCAGACCGCGGCTAACCTACAAATGTACAGGCATTTGCGGATTGTAGGAGCTCAGCAGTAGTTCATTAGCAATCATCTTGTGTTGCCATTGCCAGCCTGGAAAGGCTTATTCTTTAAACGCTGGTTTTATCGCCAAATGTATAATCTTGGAAATAAATTTGGCTATTTTCCTATAGGGTAGAATCCCGGATAGCAACACAACTCTATTATTTTCTTTACAAGGGTCGTAATGGCCATACAGTACATGACAAAAAGGCAAACAACTAATGCAACAACGCTGTCACCTAAGTTGAAAGTGTTCACAAAAAAAACCAGGCAGTGATTTGTGGCTTTGAAGGACTTTACCGTCGGAATAAAAATATGAACACCAGCAAAATGCTTCAAAAATCCACTTGCTGATATAATGAGGAAATCAATAATTAACGCAAAGAGCCCAAACAACTGAGCCAAACATTCATAATGAGCCCTATAAATCTTTGCATGGCAACGCATTGTTTGCAACTGATGTTGGTCCATTGGAACTCCTCGTGAGTTCACGTTACTTAGTGCTCACACTCCTAGTTAAGGTCTCCAATCTGCACGGCCTGGCTGCCTTCCACCATCTCCAGCACCACAAACAAGGCGGGTTTGTAAAACAGAGAATTCTTTCAGAATCTGTGTGAGCGGTTGATTAAAGAATGCTGATCTGCAGGTGTAAATACCTGTAAGTCTACTACCCCCTGTAGTTTGTGCTCTTGTGTCTCAATACAAGCAGCTCATGGTAATGTGTACATTCAAGGTGCTTTGGAATGGGAAGTTATTCATTGGATTGAGGGAGTTGTTCCCAACCAGGTGGTGAGAATGGATCTGCAGAACTCCCACGGATACTTTGATTGAGGATTCGTGCATCGTTGGCACTGGAATCAATTTTGAATTCATGAATTTGTACATACCTAGACCTTCTCGTCGTAGTAATAATAATTTAAATATTTCAACCGCCGCTTGTAACTCCACTTCTGGTGCTGGTGGGTGAACACGATTGTGGAATTCCCAACGCTGGTGCATGGCCACCAACGGAGGTGACCACCACCACCACCACCTGCTGCGCTTTGAGAAGTCAAAGGTCCCCGCGAACTTTCATTTCAAGAGAATTTAAAGAGGCCGTTCTAATGAATGCATTGCAAATGGTGGTGAACATGCACAAAGCCTTAACAGACTTGGAGCAAGTGCTGTTAGCGAGCACCTTATGAAGGTCGGCCAGCACCACGCCCGGCCGTCTTTGTCTCCCTAGTGGTGATGTTTACTCACTACTCATTTGAGGCAGAGTCGATTTAGGGGAGGCCCAGAACCGGTGCAGATAATCGTGTTGGCTGTGAGTGGGAATCGAACTCGCGTCACCACAGAAACACATTAAGGCCCTGATATTCAATCCGAAGTGCAGATGGGGAGTCAAGCAGACTGGGGCGTGTGGTAGAGAAGGGAGGAGGTGCCTGGAAAGGAGAAACATTTTTCTCCATTCCTGGCATGATCATTCTGCTCTTTGTCCAATACTCACAAAGCCTTGTCATGGATATGGTATTACAGCATCACAGAGCAACACTACCACATTGTCATTTATTGTTTCATCTGTGTGCAAGACAAAATGTACTTTGCATAAAATAATTGCGTAATGTTGAATCCAGCTGAGTGTCGTCTCATCATTAGCATGTCGCGAGATGAAATAGCGGCCAAGCGTCTGTTCAGCAAATCATTCCTCCAGCCTCAATAACAAACATTGCAGCACCTTGGGGAGGAGGGGGGGGGGGTCATGCTATCGAGCGGCTCGCCAACACGACTGCAATGTAGGACTCACACTGCTGGCTCTGGGCCACGTGGAGGATGAGTCTTCGCTCACATGCGATCGGTGGCCTTTTGGCTTTGTTCACGTCTGTTATGTACGCATGTTTGTTGGACTTTCTTTCGCACCGTACGTAGCCGATCGTGCTCATCGGAGATGCGTCTAGAGATGTGGTCACATTTCGAAACTGTATTCATCAGCGTTCGATCTTGCTAAGGTGATTGTTCAGCCGTGGCGGTAAATGTTGCACATTGCCCGGCCTTTGATAAGCGATGATAAAACAGCTGACATCGCCTCTCTTTACGACAGGAAACATGTCCAGCTATAAGTGTTCTCCGCTCAGGTCACTTTCTGTTGACCTTGGTTTAAAAATAAAAACCCAATGTAAACATGCCGCTTACCGCACTGGAATAAGATCGTGTATAAGATGGAGGTTTATTTGTCTTGATTGTTTTATGAGCTCTCCGATGAGTTTTGTAGGGGAAGGCTGCGGTGGCAGCTGCTGGTGGTCGCTGTGTCAACGTCTCGCTGTTGTTATATCATCTCGCTGTGGATGGAGGCATATTTCACGCCGGGCTGAACAAGCACACATTCCTTGTTCGCGTTTGTTCTCGTGATTTGTGTTTCTCAGCACCCTTTGCGCAGACACACACACACAAACCTTTAACACGGGATCAATTCCGTCACCGCATCCAGGTGTGTTGGTTTTCGTTTAATTTACAACTCGTCGATGAAGACCACGCATTGTGTGCAGTCTGTATTTCTTTGGTCTTTTAGGCAAATAAAGATTTTGTTTCTCTCTCTATATATACGAGTGCTTAAAATCCTTTAACCCTCCACGATCGTACTTACGTTGTAATCATCGTCGTCACGATCAGGAATGGCGCTACGGTGTAATAATGGTTATCATCATGAACTTACAATTAAGAGGTTACTGGAGCGATCTCTCTGCACAGTATTCGTTGGGCACGTTTCCTGCCCAGCCAGCAGCAGACATTAGGATCATCGCAGTAGAGCGGCGAGATGCTTTCGGTCGGGGTAAAGCGTGGGCACTCACGCTTCTTCCAAAACGATTGGCGAGTGTGCAGGCGGAGGCGAAATCACC